CATCCACTAGACTGCTGCCATATCACACTCTTCCCCCTTTCTCTACAGAAGCTACAAGGCTCTTTCCTTGGTCCCCTGCTTGTTCCCTTTCATTTTTCCAAAATTTACAAGTAGCTTCTATTTCAAACATTCAGCCAAGGCAGAAATGAATTTAGCTTATTGCTATGTACCCATCCCTGTAAAATAAACACATTGTCACCTTTGTTTCGGGTCTAATTTTTAATTTAACCAGAAATAAGATGCTACAGGACCAATATTGCTAGTGCTTTGGGAAGCTAGAAAAAGAGGGGCGTGTTCTTTTGTAATCGTTCTTATCATTGAAATGCCAGTGAACCAGGACGTGCCCTCACACCTCTTGGGGTGCAGCCCTCCATCTGAGCCCCCTTTTCAGGGCGCCCTTGACCTCCTTGTTGCGAAGGCTGTAGATGAAAGGGTTCAAGGTCGGTGTGAGCACAGCATAGACCACGCTGGCCAGGCGGTCATAGCGGGCTGAGTAGGCGGAGGACGGCCGGAAATAGACGGAGAGGACAGAGCCGAAGAAAAGCGACACCACCACCAGGTGGGCCCCGCAGGTGGCGAAGGCGCGGCGCCGGCCCCCGGCCGCCCGCACTCCCAGCACCGCGACGAGGATGCGCGCGTAAGACAGCGACACGAGGAGCAGCGGGGTGAGCACCACGGCCAGGCCCTCGGAGAAGATGGCAGCCTCCGCGGTCGCCGTGTCCGAGGTCGCCAAGCTCAGCATCACCGTCATGTCACAGAAGAAGTGGCGCACAGGGGCGGGGCACGGGTAGGAGAGCGCCGAGATGAGCAGCGTGTGCAGCAGCGAGTGCAGGTGGGCCACGGCCCAGGACGTGGTCACCAGCGCGGCGCAGCGCCGGGGCGTCATGACCGCGCAGTAGTGCAGGGGGCGGCAGACGGCCACCGCGCGGTCGTAGGACATGGCTGCCAGCAGGTAGCTCTCGGTGATGCCCAGAGCCACGAAGAAGTACATCTGGGAAAAGCATCCCTGGAAGGACACGGCCTGGCGCGGGTGGAGCAAGCCGGCCAGCAGTCTGGGGACCGTGACAGTGGTAAAGCAGACGTCCACGAGGCTCAGGTGACCCAGGAAATAGTACATGGGGGAGCGGAGGGCCCCATCCGACCTCACCACCACCACCATGGCCAGGTTGCCCAGGGCATTGAGCAGGTAGACGCCGAGGAAGAGCAGGAAGAGCAGCGGGTGGATGTCTGTTCCATCCACCAGGCCGAGGAGGAGGAATTCTGGGGCGGTCGTGAGGTTGGCCAGGGCCATGGAGCGGCCAGAGAGGCGGGGGCGCTGAGGGGGCAGATGAGGAGCAGGCCTAAATTCTGGCGCCTTTCGGTAGGCTTCTGCATGTGCGGGTTCCGTATCCTATTTTTAAATTTACGCTTGCTAAAAAGGCTTGGAAACCACACTGCCCACCCAGGAATCCTCATTTCATGAAGAAACTCAGTATCTGAATCCCAGTAGGGTGTCCTAAGGTAGCGGGCGGTTTCGAGCTTGGAGTAGAACAGACCTGAGTTTGAGATCTGGCTCCACCGCTCGGGTGCTATGACGGCTCTAAACCTCCATTTCTTCTTCTTTCATTGAAGAAAATACTAATCGCTACCCAGGGAGTTGTTGTGAAGATAAAGTGGGTAATAAGTGTAAAATACTTAGCGCAGCACCCAGCACCCAAAACTCTTGCCTATCTACCCACCTCCCTGCCACCCATCTATTTATCTACCATCATTTGCATAGTCAAACAAGCAGTTGAGGCAGAATTGGGACCCAGGCCATCTGAAAACCAGTTGAAGTTTCTTCATAAAACCCCTTATGGCATTTGCCATTTGTTTATTCACCACGTATTATGTGCTAACTCAGGAATCATTAAACTTTTCTGTCAAGGATCACAGAGTATTTTAGGCCTGTGGGCCATAGGGTCTCTTACAAGTATTCAGCTCTGCCATTGAAGCGTGAAAACAGCCATTGATAGTATGTAAATGAACGGCCTTGGCTTTGTTCCAATAAAACTTTATTATAAACAGGCAGAAGGGCAGATTTGGCCCGTAAGACGTAGTTGGCTGACTCCTGTGCTGGGGCCTGTGGGGAACAGGGTGAAGCTTAGCTTTTGCCCACAGTTTGACCTACAGCAGCTTGCAGTGTTTCCTCCTTTACTAATTTTATGAACCACGTGGGAGTAAATTATTCTACCGGAGGAGTTTGGCAAGAATATAAAGAAGAGATGGGATTTGAACTGGGTCTTGGAGAATGAATACGGTTTTATCCAGCAGACGTGCTATGGTGTCGGAGGGGGAGGCATCCAGACAGGGGGAAGAGATTGTGTGGGATTGTTGGCAGAGGGCGCATGGAATGAAGAAGGTAACATCCACTATGATACTGGGGCAAGTCTTGTCTTTGCTCTGACCTCAGCTGACTGAAAACTTCAAAGTTTCTCAGTAAGCCAAGTGATTTCAATTATCTCTGAAACAAAGCACTCATTTTGTCACCCACTCAATCTCTTCCTTAAAACACTTTTTTTCCCACTGATGCAAAGTTTCTGTAAATGTTCTATTCCTAGCCTAGCCTATCCCTGCTTTGTCAGGAAAGAGGGCCAGCCTTTGGTGAGATCCCAGAGAGTGGACCGAGTCAGTTCTTAGCTCAGATGCTCCTTGCAAGAAGGAGCTGTGCTTATTCCCTGTCTTGCCAAGTGATCTATACACAAAACTCACTCAATCGGTATTTGTTGAATGAAGCTTTTTAAAGAGCAGTGAGAGAAAAAAGAGGCAAGGGAAGGTGGAAGAGAGGAGATGATGTGCAAACTGCAGTGTCTGCTCTTGTTGCGTTTCAGGAGAAGTCCCAGATGTAGCCTATTTTTTCATTTTTCTGCTTTTCTATCACTGTCACTCATTGGCTATCGCAGGGAGTCATCTGCTTATGCCAACTCCACCCCTATCCCCAGAACAGAGCTGAAGTGTTGAACAGCCAGGACCTTGGTACCTCTCCAATTCGTCCTCTTTTGAGGTACAGGATTCTCCCCTGCAGAGCCCCTGACCTTCCCTCCCCACCTCCAGGTGGGCACTGCATGATATGGAGGAAAAGCCACTGGCTTTGCAGTCGGAGCCACCTGGGTTTTAATCCTGACTGACTTTGTAAACGTAGACCCATATTCATTCCATCTCTACTCTTCTCATCTATAGAATGGAAATACTGATGATTCCTCTCTGCGTGGTTGACGCCATGATTAAATGGGTAACGGATATATAAGCACGTAGCAGGGAATGGTTGCTTAGTAGATGTTGGTTTCCTTTCCCTCAGCTTCTGATGCCTTCTCCCTGTTCCTCGAGGCTACTAGAGGCAATCCAGTCCACTGCTGGAAGCCTGTAGTTATTTAAAGATGTTTTTCTTAATCTCAGCTGAAACCTGCTTCCCTGTAACTTCTACAAGTGGTCACAGTTTTGGCCACTGAAGGTTAAACACCTAATCTCCCTTCTCTGCAGCTTTTCACACAGTGTTAAAAAAAAGTCTATGAGCTGTTCTTCGCTCCAATCCAAACACACCTGGTGCCTTAGATTCTTTCCTAGAGGACCTAATTTCCAGGTCCTTTTCCATTATGGTCAACCTCTGTTTTGCCAATGTGTTTTTTAACTGGAATTGGACTCAGTGGTCTTTCTGGGGTTGGGTTGTGTGGGGTTCTCTGGGGGCACTGTAACAGCTCAACTGTCCACTTCACACCTATCTGTTGAGCGCCTGCTTTGGATCAGGCTTTATGTTGGTCTCTAGGATTATAAAGGCAGGTCAGCTACGGTCCTTGACCTCCAGCCATGCACAACAATAAGCACTACACTAACTGTATGAACAAAGTAGTAGGAGTAATTTCCTGTGCTTGTCTGATTCGGGGAAGATTCCAAAGAAGAGGTGAAGTTTGAACTGGGGTTGGAAGAATCAGTAGGAGCTCACCAGATAGAGACCTGGAGGTGGGAAGGGCGTTTCAGGCAGGCAGAGAGAATGTGAAGGCAGAGAAAGGTATTTTGGGGGTGGGGGGGAGAGCTGACACATGGCTTTGTCCTCCCTACCCCTGTGAGGCACAGTGGAGTGGGGTGGGATGGAAGATAGGACCCAAGGCAGGGAGTTCTCTCACCTGAAGGGCAGCATGCCAGGCCTCAACACTGTCTGCACCGTCTGTGGGCTGGTTTCCCTCCTGGCCAGAGGTCCCCGATCTTGAGGACAGATGCATTCTCATCCATCTTCACCCAGAGACTTCAGCGTGTTTCCTGTGGGCTAGGACAGCAGCCTTAAAGAGAGAGAAAGCCAGAACTAAAAGGGGCCTGGAGATTCTTGAGCCATGCTCTCTCTACTCAGTTTACTGCCCTGCTGGTCTCCCATTGCCCATAGGGTACAGTGCAAATGGCTCAGCCTGGCAGCCAGAACTTCCCAACTTGGTTCTCCGATGGTCTCAGCTCCAACTGCTTCCACATGCTTCCCTGTCCCCCCACCCTAGCCAGGCTGGCCTCCTCACCATCTCTTGTTCACACGTTTCTCACAGGCTTTTCCTGTACACTGCTCCTTACCTGAAATGCTCTTCCTACCCTTTCCCAATACCCAACTCTGGCTCCACCCCCTCCAGGAAGCCCCACCTTCTTTCCTGACTCCTCCAGCCCTCACTTGAATGCCTCTCTCCTCTCTGTCTGGTAACCCTCCTTTGGAACTTAGCCCTTATTTGCTGGTGTTGTGACTTCTGCTGTAATGCTCATCTTCTCCACAAGATGATGGACTTTCTGAGGGCAAATATTTACTTATCTGTTCCTATCTGGCCTCAGACCTGGCACAGAGCTTTGTATTTTTTTTTTTTAATCTTTTAGAGAGAGAGAGACACAGAATGTGAGAGTGGGGAGGAACAGAGGGAGGAACACAGAATCGGAAGCAGGCTCCAATCTCTGAGCTGTCAGCACAGAGCCCGACGTGGGGCTCAAACTGACAAACCATGAGATCATGACCTGAGCCAAAGTCAGACACTTAACTGACTGAGGCACCCAGGCGCCCCATCACACAGGGCTTTGTCTTAACTCTCCTGGCAGTCAGAGAAGGCTCCACAGAGGAGGTGACATTTGAACAGGGCCAGCTTGAAGGATAAGACATTCACTGGACAGACAAGAGTAGAAAGGAGTTCTAGAAAGAGGGAATAGCATGTACGATGGAAATTACAAGAGAAACCTCAGAGATGTTACTTAACCTCTTTGAGGCATATACATTCACTTAGCAAATAGTAGGTACTTTAAAAATGTCAATTTCCTCCCCATCTCCCCCAGCCTCGAAACACTTTTGGTGATGGGAGATAAACTGACTGAATTTATGTTGGCTCCCCCGGAAATCCGGGCACAGGACTGGTTTCCCTGGATGCTGAGCTGCAGGTTTTGACTCCGAGCCCCTTCCTAAGGCCCAGGCATGGCAGGTGTCTCTTTGAAATGAATAGGGATGACTTATTTAAGGTCACAAAATGAGGCAGAGAATCTTAGGATCTAGAACCAGAAACCCCGTCCCCCAGGCAGCTTACGGAAAAGGTCACCTTTGCAACAAACACTCAGATGCCCCAAGACATAGAAGTACACAGGGATACGAGCCTGCACAAAGATGCAGACATATCCTGATAAATCGAGTCACACGGACATGCCAGAGACACACTCACACCCACCAGGACAGCAATAGACACACATGGGCACACATGGATACCCACTAACAGTCATTTACACAGAGGTGTAGACACATACACAGATCCATCCAAAGACATACCTGCCATATACACACAAAGACCCAGACCCAGACCCCTACACTCAAAAATGCGAGAGACATAGAGACCTCCATGGATTCTTCCAGCCACACAGGAGTCAACACACAAATGCCAACAACTTCCTCCTTCCTCTCACTCTTGCTGAAAGTCTCCATTTGCCTTATCAGACGGGGACACGGGCAGTGGGGAAAAGGGGAAACCGTCGCTGGCCCCCTAGCACTCCCAGTCCTGGGAATGTCTATCCAACTCCTTGACTTTGGTCCCTTTCTGGTCAGCTCAGATTCTTCTCCTGAATAGCCTTCTCTTCAACCAGTTTTAGCCAAAGATGAGGCCTTTCTATTCCAAGGGCTTCCTTCTATCCTCTCCTTTCCTCTGCCAACTTCTCATTCATTTCTCTTTAATAATTTATATAGCAATCTTGCCTGTTGTATCTACTCTATGCCGGGCAGGTAGTTGAGCACGAGGCAGGGAGGGCATTCAGAGTTTTATGAACAAGACACAATCAGAGTTCATCTTCTTATCTTGGCATCAGCAATTGGCAACGATTTTAACATATCACCTAACCCAACAGCCATGACACAAATGGGAAACAAGGCCCAGAGAACACGGTCTGAAGTCATTCAGCAATTTGGGGATAGAGCCGGGAACTGAATCCAGGAGTCTGAACTATCTATGGTTTTGTGCACTTCCGCATCCTTCTGTCATGCATTGGCAGGTACTTCTCATTTATCTCTCTCCCTCCCCTTCTCTCTTTCTCCCCCTGATTTAGCCCTTGCCTTTCTGCCATTGATTATTCTGCTCTGTGCCAGCAAGTCTCCTGCCTGACCACTTACCTGTGAGTACAGATGGGCTCTGCCCTCCACACCACACAGCCAGAGGCTGATCTGCTACCAGCAGGGGGAGTTAAGGCAGGCACGCCTGGGGAAGAAGATTGACCTCAACAGCCAAAGGTGAGAGGGGTGGCATGTCGGCTGGGAGCACAGGGGGTCACTCACTAATTAATTAACCAGGAAACTTCATAAAGGATGGGCTTTGCACCCCCCAGCCCTACGAGGAGCCCTCAGCCCTCAGCCAGCATGACTTCTCTCCTACCCTTCTAGAGAGACTGAGTAGGAGAGGGGGAACAAAGGAGTCTGGGAATCCAGAATTGGGAGAGACACCCCTCTGTGGTGACCACCCGTGCTCAGAGGATGCTATCACTCCTCTGCCTCCTTCTAAGAAAATGCTAATGGCCTGAGAAGGATGGGGCTTGTTGACAATCACAGAGCAAGGGACCCTGGTCTATTCTATCTGGCTGTACTCATGCTGTGCCGCAACCGTCACCCCTCAAAGCTGTGACCTCACTGTGATTCCTCTGTTAGGGAAGAGCCTTTTCTCTGACCTCCCTGTGAGGAAAGCAGTAAGGTGGAGCTGGGGACTTAGATGCCCAGTCTCCCAGCCGGGGCTCCCGGCACCCTTCTCTGAGCCCACCTCGGCCCCAGAGTTCCCACCTGACCTAGAAGTGGAGGGAGGGAGGAGGGGCTGGAGCTGCCGGCAGATTCACCCCAGGACAGCAGGCTCGGCAGATGTCTGTGGAGCTGTTCTTGATGGACTTCAGGAGTGCTGCCCTCTGTCACCCCACAGTCCCGGTCCGAGATGCCAGGAGTTCAGCCCTGCCCAGCTAGAGCCAGGGCAAGAGGACTTCTGCTCCTTGTTGCAAAGCCTTTTGACTGTCCTGTCCTCATTGGCCCGACACAGCAGCCCTCCTGCATCTGCGGGGCGACCTAATTCCCAGGCTGATTAATTTCTTCTGACGCAGTAAATGTGTGGAACTAACTGGTAGCCACATCCCAGGGGATAACCTCTCCAACTCGACTATTCACTCAGTTTGAAAACATTGTTCAGCGTCCATGGGGTGCTGGCCCCTTTGCACTCTGAGGAGTGTCAGAGAAGTCTTGGAATGAGTGAGGCGTTCAAGTCCTGACCAGCTGTGGGAGTCTGGGCAAGTATCTTCCCCACTCTGGGCCTCGGTTTCCCCATCAGTAAATGGAGAAGGGTGAACTGACAGATTCTGAGGATCCCTTCATGTTAGAGAATGGAACATATGGATGGGCCCTGGATAGTTAACATTCAGGCCTGGGGAGGGAGGCTTGGGCACAGGCAGTACAATGCTGAGCAGTGTGTGCCCGTGGGGCTCAGAGTAGAAGTTGTGCCAATGGCTTGGGTGTTCAGAGAGTATACCTGGGAGAAAGTGGGATTTAAATGGAGCAGAACAATGGGAGGATATGGGTGTGTGGGAGGGCAGTGTGGGAAAACCCAGGGATCTAGGGAGCATGGTACATGCAGAGGGGCCCCGGGAAATACAATGGAAGGGAAAGGCTACCTGTACAAGTTTCCAATAGGGGAGAAGGTCCATGCATCCATATCCCAGGGTCTCCGGCATCATCCTGACCTTCTTGCTGTGAGACCTTGAGGAAGTTAGTCAAATTTTCTGTACTTCAGTATCTCACCTTTAAAATGGGAAAATAATAGAAACTACTTGAGGGTGCCTGGGTGGCTCAGTTGGTTAAGCCTTTGACTTTTGATTTTGGCTTAGGTCATGATCTCATGGTTGTGAGATCGAGCCCCATGTCAGGCCCAGCGCTGGTGTAGAGCCTGCTTGGGATTCTCTCTCTCCCTCTTCCTCTGCGCCTCCTCGACTCGCGCTCCCTCCCTCCCACCCTCCCCCTCTCTCTCAAATAATAATAATAGTAATAATAATAATAATAATAATAATAATAATAATAGAACCTATTTTATAGGGATGCTACAAGGAACATAAAGCCTTTGGAACAGTGCCCAGCACACAGCAACCACAGGCTACATGTTGGCTGTGACAGTTATTACCCCTTGGCCATTCTTACTACGTGCTAAGGTCTTAGGGTTTGTTCTTGCACCCTCCTGACCTGGATTTTCTTTTAAGGAAGGCACCTTGAATTTTTCCATTTTGCTGATACACATGAAATGACTGTTGCGGAAGATGGCGGCGTAGGAGGACGCTGGGCTCACCACGTGTCCTGCTGATCACTTAGATTCCACCTACACCTGCCTAAATAACCCAGAAAACCACCAGAGGATTAGCAGAACGGAGTCGCCGGAGCCAAGCGCAGACGAGAGGCCCACGGAAGAGGGTAGGAAGGGCGGCGAGGCGGTGCGCGCTCCACGGACTGGCGGGAGGGAGCCGGGGCGGAGGGGCGGCTCGCCGGCCAAGCAGAGCCCCCAAGTCTGGCTTGCAAAAAGCGGAGGGGCCTGACGGACTGTGTTCCGACAGCAAGCGCGACTTAGCGGCTGGGAGGTCATAAGTTAACAGCTCTGCTCAGAAAGCGGGAAGGCTGGAGGACAAAGGGAAGGAAAGCTGCGGAGCCCCCGGACGACAGAGCTCAGTTTGGTGGGGAACAAAGGCGCTCGCCAGCGCCATCTTCCCCGCCCATCCCCCAGCCAAAATCCCAAAGAGAACCAGTTCCTGCCAGGGAACTTGCTCGCTCCGCGCAAACACCCAACTCTGCGCTTCTGCGGAGCCAAACCTCCGGCAGCGGATCTGACTCCCTCCTGCTGCCACAGGGCCCCTCCTGAAGTGGATCACCTAAGGAGAAGCAAGCTAAGCCTGCCCCTCCTGCCCCTGTGCACCTTGCCTACCCACCCCAGCTAAGACGCCAGATCCCCAGCATCACAAGCCTGGCAGTGTGTAAGTAGCCCAGACAGGCCACCCCACCCCACAGTGAATCCCGCCCCTAGGAGAGGGGAAGAGAAGGCACGCACCAGTCTGACTGTGGCCCCAGCGGTGGGCTGGGGGCAGACATCAGGTCTGACTGCGGCTTCGCCCACCAACTCCAGTTATACACCACAGCACAGGGGAAGTGCCCTGCAGGTCCTCACCACGCCAGGGACTATCCAAAATGACCAAGCGGAAGAATTCCCCTCAGAAGAATCTCCAGGAAATAACAACAGCTAATGAGCTGATCAAAAAGGATTTAAAGAATATAACAGAAAGTGAATTTAGAATAATAGTCATAAAATTAATCGCTGGGCTTGAAAACAGTATAGCTGACAGCAGAGAATCTCTTGCTACAGAGATCAAGGGACTAAGGAACAGTCACGAGGAGCTGAAAAACGCTTTAAATGAAATGCATAACAAAATGGAAACCACCACAGCTCGGATTGAAGAGGCAGAGGAGAGAATAGGTGAACTAGAAGATAAAGTTATGGAAAAAGAGGAAGCTGAGAAAAAGAGAGATAAAAAAATCCAGGAGTGTGAGGGGAAAATTAGAGAACTAAGTGATACACTAAAAAGAAATAATATACGCATCATTGGTATCCCAGAGGAGGAAGAGAGAGGGAAAGGTGCTGAAGGGGTACTGGAAGAAATAATAGCTGAGAACTTCCCTGAAGTGGGGAAGGAAAAAGGCATTGAAATCCAAGAGGCACAGAGAACTCCCTTCAGACGTAACTTGAATCGATCTTCTGCACGACATATCATAGTGAAACTGGCAAAATACAAGGATACAGAGAAAATTCTGAAAGCAGCAAGGGGTAAACGTGCCCTCACATATAAAGGGAGACCTATAAGACTCGTGACTGATCTCTCTTTTGAAACTTGGCAGGCCAGAAAGAGTTGGCACGAGATTTTCAGTTTGCTAGACAGAAAAAATATGCAGCCGAGAATCCTTTATCCAGCAAGCCTGTCATTTAGAATAGAAGGAGAGATAAAGGTCTTCCCAAACAAACAAAAACTGAAGGAATTTGTCACCACTAAACCAGCCCTACAAGAGATCCTAAGGGGGACCCTGTGAGACAAAGTATCAGAGACATCACTACAAGCATAAAACATACAGACATCACAATGACTCTAAACCCATATCTTTCTATAATAACACTGAATGTAAATGGATTAAATGCGCCAACCAAAAGACATAGGGTATCAGAATGGATAAAAAAA